TGAGCCACCCAGGCATCCCTTGTTCTTATTTTCTTTCCTTCATTTCTCTTTTAAGTAACTTTAACACTTCTCTTTTCTCCTGAAGAATCCATTCTTTTTTTAAAAAATTTTTTATTGTTATGTTAATCACCATACATTTCCTCATTAGTTTTTGATGTAGTGTTCCATGATTCATTGTTTGTGCATAACACCCAGTGCTCCACGCAGAATGTGCCCTCTTTAATACCCATCACCAGGCTAACTCATCCCCCCACCCTCCTCCCCTCTAGAACCTTCAGTTTGTTTTTCAGAGTCTATCGTCTCTCATGGTTTGTCTCCCCCTCTGACTTACTCCCGTGAAGAACCCATTCTGCCCTAACCTTAAGTCTCTCTTTTTTTCCCTAGGCACTTGTGAAGATATTTTTTTAACAAATTTTTAAACAAATGCAGTTCCCATTCTTACTTAGATACTTTAATACCTAAATTAATATAATATTTATTAATGTAGACATTAATATACTTTTATATCATTTTATTAGATGTATTACAAGCATTTGTGAATCTTATTTGACAACTTGTAGTTTTTAATATTTCTGGGAATTGGTTCTATTTTTGGTGTGTAGAGAGGGAACAAAATTGATTAAAATTAAAATTTTATCTTGGATATAAGATAGATACTGAAAAACAAATAATAAATGACTTCCCCCCCCCGCCCCGATTCATTATCTGGTACACTGTCAGATAGCATAAACTGCAGAGGCAGTGGTGACAGGAAAACCCAGCTGGACCCACTTACAGACCACATAACTTGGGAAGATCATTTAACTACTGTGAGTCTCCATCTCCTGATGCATAAAATGAGTTTGAAGATTAAAGAAATAAAACTGATTTCATTATAGCACCTACGACATAATAAATGATGAGTAAGTGATGGCTTTTTATTATTTTATCCAGGTTACTTAGGTTGTTAGAAGTAGTTCAACACCAAGAGAAATTGACATCAATTACTTTCTACTGCCCAGCAGCACAAAGTACAGCAATGTCTAAGAATAAAACTGTTTTTAATAGTTGCAATTAAAATCCCTCTCCCAGAATATGTGACATGTATAGATGGACAGTTAGGTGTAAAAATACAAGTTTTAGATACCCATCCACAAGGGTGAAGCAACCAATCTTTACTGTGGTATGTTCGAGCTGTTAGTGGAAGAAACATCAGGGACATGACTTGCTATGTGGCTCTAAACAATGCCCAGTTTTCTTATCTGAGAGCATTCTGTTTATCCCCTCCATCCTTAAAATGACCTAGGGACTTGGAGTGACCCTTTGGTTCCAAAGTATAAATCCTATTATTGCATAACCCTGAAGAGTGATAAAGTGTCTTAAGCTCTCTATTTTCCAGAAGTTGGATTTGGTGGCTCCTAGGCATAAAGTTGTCATTATTGTCATTAGTGCCAGAAAAGGGCAAGAGTGTAAACATTATTGCAGAATGAAAACAAAATTTTGGTAATAGAGAGGTGGAGGAGAGGTCTTTTGGCTGGAGGGACTGAGGAAAGCTTGAGGAGAATACCCTCTCACCTAGTGTTGCAGGAATCTCAACTACTGGGGGCTGGGAGGCCATAATGGATAGCATGAAACAAGCCTAAATGCAGCACTTTTTAGAATGGTGAGGCAGTGGTTAGGTGGTGGGCAGGTATGGGGGCAAAATGGCGGGAGGTAGAGCTGGAAAGGTAGGTTACAGCTAGTGTAGAGAATCTTGAATGACAAAGGAGGTGATGAGTTGCTGCTGAAGGTTTCTGAGAAAAGGAGCCAGAAAGGAAGACCTTATAGCACCTCTTTGTTGGTGCCCTCACAAACACCTTCAGGTCTTGGCTTCTAGGGAACTGGAAACTTTGGATTAAGGGGAAGGCACACTGATGTCTTAGAGTTAGCTGTGGAAACAACAAATGACTAAGTAGGCAAATTATTGTTATTTTTTTAAAATTATTTTTATTTTTTATTCTTATGTTAATCACCATACATCATTAGTTTTTGATGTAGTGTTCCATGATTCATTGTTTGTGCATAACACCCAGTGCTCCATGCAGAACGTGCCCTCTTTAATACCCATCACCAGGCTAACCCATCCCCCCAACCCCCTCCCCTCTAGAAACCTCAGTTTGTTTTTCAGA